AGTAGGGCGCTCTGCCCCTACTGACCCCGACCATTTTTATGGTGCGTCTCGCTGTTGTGGTTTCGCAACAGCGCTGGACCCACGCTTATTGCCCTTTATGGCAAATTGTCGTCCATTTCGCTCAGTACTGTTTGGTACTGGACGTGGAGCACTACACTCATATGCGTAGTGCCCTAACTTCTGACAGCGATTGCACCTCTGCAATCGCTTGTTGTTTGTAGAGCGAGGTCTCTCGCTCTCAACATAGCAGAGGTCCATTGGTTCTGGACCTCCGATCTCTTGTCGTCTCGGTGGACGGTAAGAGTTTGAGCTAGAATGAGCCTGTCTCATGCTAAAGTCTTCCTGTTCCGCGGCTGATATCGCTTCTTCAAGCGTATTCAGCTCAAGGCGGAACAGATGGCTCCTGACGGGCCCTTCTGCGAGCCCTTGCATGAACACCGTAATCAACGTGTGTTCACGTACTGGGTTGGCAGTTATACTACTCGCAAGGAGTCGTATATGTTGTGCGTAAGCGTGCACATCACGCTTACCCTGCTTCAGTTTCAGGAGCTCTGAGCGAGCCCTGAACTCAGCACGTGGCGGCTCAAACGTTTGTCTGAGCCGGGACTTGAAGTCATCTAGCGACCTAAACACATTTGGGTCGCTACTCTCGAGTCCCAAGGACCAAGTTTTGGCACGCCCTGCCAAGTGGGTCTGAGCAAATGTGAGTTTCATTTGCTCATCTTCGACGCGACGAGCCCTTAGGGCTCTGTCGAGTTCGACAAACCATAGTAACAGAGAGTCCTCCGGGACTCCACTGTACTTGGAGATGTCAACTTTCATGACTTTGGGACGACGCGCATGCGCCGTCCCGCCCACAGCAGCATGGAATTGCTGCTGTCTCAACAGCTCCGTCTGTTGAGCACCGAGTTCTCTCAACTGCTCGGCCTGTTGAGAGCCTTGCTGGTGAAGCAAGGCTACTTTCTCCCTCTCGATGGCAAGTTCATTTTGAATGAACTTGGCGATAGCGGCATGTTGTTGGTCTCTGTCTAGAGACTCCAACATGGTGCTGACGACGAGTTCGCCTACGGTAGAACTCATTCGTTCTACCGCACCCCATTCGATGTCACTCAGATGGGTAAACCCTTCACGCGTGGCGTGAAAGGTGTCTTCTTTATCCAACATGTTCATGTTGGATGATGTGGTCCTTGGAAGGACTACAAAGTGCTACCAGGTGTAACGGGGCACACCCTTGCGTAACTTAACGCAAGGGATTTGGGTGCCCCGACGGACGTACACGTGGCAAGCGAGGAAGCGTAGGTAGGGTAAAAGTAGAACTGTTATATTAATAAATTAAGTCTTTAAACTACTGTCTCTTCGTTTGACTTAATTCAATTATACTAATATAACTGCATGTATGGTGACGTCTCGTCACCACTCATTGCGCGCGTCTTGCGGCGATTGGTGGGTTGATATCATCACGATATCAACCAATGAACAGACCCTTTGGTCGACCCTTCAATATCACCACTTTGGTGATATTGTTTTAAAGAATATCCATCTTTATATTCTTTATTGTCACTTTCCTTAAAGTGACAATTTCATGTAACGGGCTGCCCCGTTACATTGACCATTGCACGTACAAACGGCCGTCGACATGGCTGGCAGATTGCGATGAAGCGAGGCCCAAGCAAGGACGACGTCCGGTGCCGCCTGCGTTCCTTCATTCCTTCATTTATTCTCTCTGTTTACTATCACTGCAAGTCCATCACGTAGCCTTACAGAATTGATGGCCCTTCTACAAACCAAAGGCGTGGTGTCACATGGCAGTACTAAGTATGGATACAACGCACCGTAATTCAGAGACATCAGTTCGAAGTTGCCTCAGAAACAATTTGCAAGTCTCACGCTGTCGATGCACATAAACAATGGAAGTAAGGAGTCTGATGGGCGGTTTGCTTACACCCCACGCTTCCTCTTCAGATCAAGACAGCTCCACAAAGTTCCTTTGCCTGTGATAACGTGAGATGTCAAACACATCCATGCCAATCTCGTAAAGCAGCTTTCCAGAAACTTGAATGTGTCAGGCCAAGTTATTTTCGGCACAAGGAGGCGAGTGGAAGGACGCAATGGATGATATCAGAGATGGTCAGGCCGCATCGATTGCGTACACCTCATCAATGTTGGTGGTTGGGCCGGATGTATTGATAATGATGCGTCGGGTGTATTGTCACTCCCGTGATGCCCTCGTAGGAAGTGGTGTCAAGGATTTCGTGACTGCGATGGATGATCGACCTGGTGGAAACACCGGTCTTGTTTCCAATAGGCTTTCTTCGCTATCAGAGCGACCACTCGTCGACACTTTGCATTAGCCGCTGCTACTACAAACCAGGCGCATGGAAGACGATGTTGCAAACTCCATGCACCAGCTGGAAGCGTTCTCCAGCGAAAAGCGATTGAATTTGGATGTCGTCATGGCCATATACTACGTGGTCGACTCACATATTCTCGCGTCGGTGTCTTCCCGACACAGTTCACGACGAACTCCATTGACGTGAGGACCCCCATGTGTGAGCTGACACGAATCGCGGTGGTTATTATCTTAACTGTCTGTCTGACTGCTCAATGTTAACCAACGACTAACCATTGACCACAGACTGTTGACCAAAGACTTGGAGCGCAAGTAAGCGTGCGGTGGTCGCGTCTACTCTTTTGCCACTGGGACGGCCACCGTCGAGCTTGAAGCATAAAGATCAGCTGGACCGTCAAACAGTCTCGTCACAATCTGCTCGATCTCGTCCGGTGTTTTGCCACACTTTGCAAGCTCCACGACCAAGTTCAGACAGTCCTTATGGGCTAGGACGAACCGTTGATTTGATGCATGACGCTGTATCGGAGTGATGGTAGCAGAGATGCGAGGCCCTATAATCTTCTACGCTCGCAAATTTCCATAACTTTGATCTGTACACTGAACACCATTTCTGCCACACTTGAGAAACTTTCCCGTGTGGCACGACACAAATTAAAGAGAGCACTCCGCGTTCGTCTCCATGGTAAAGAGTTCTCAGTTACCATGTTCCGTAAGGTCGAATATACATAATCCAGACGGGCGAACTCGCAGGAAGCGACCATTGCGTCGAGACTGGATAGCGACCTTGTCGTCGCGCACACGGTGCAAGATGACGTGCTCGTACATGTCCCGATTGTTGGTTAGGCAACGCGCTTTCTTGGATCCGAGAGGGTTCTACAGATTGGTCTGCATGCGGATCGAGTGGATGATGATCGGAACGTTGAACGGGATCTCGGACAGGTCCATGGGAGAGGTGTGGAAGTAGCGTGAGGTTGAGGGAGTGAAAAGCGTTCTGACTTCACAAGTCGCTTGTCAGGATCGAGGAATGCGAGACATGTCTCGAGCAGTGGTGGGTGCACACATCACTCACAGACACAACCAGATGATGCCTCGTGATACGGTACTTTTGCAAGTGATATCCCCAAGAGCCACCCACGTTCGACTACGGATTATGTGTACAGCCGTCGTTCTTCTCCCAGCTTGCAGTCTGCGTACAAGAAGTCGAGTGTAATGACGCGATGTGCTGGTAGCGGAGATGGTCACGCCGCATCGATCACGGAACGACCAGTGCGAGAGTACGCAAGCAGACAACGTATCCATTCTAACGAGGTCAGGAACCAACAACTCGAAGATGGTCCATTCATGACAACCGTGTTCTTTGTCTGTCTTTGTCCATTGTACCACATATGTCGCTATCTGTCTACGACCGGATGCGTCAAACATGATGGATCGGTGCTGCGTCTTTTCGTGTCACACAAATTACCAGGGAATGCTGTTCCCGATGAAGCTGCGTCATCCGGTAGAAGTTGCGCCGCTTATATTGCACTCACGGATGTGGCTTTAGCGTCGTTCTCGTGTAGGGTATGATATACTCTTCTATGCCTCAGTGTCGCGTAGACCTCGTGGCATCGCTGGTTGCGTTCTTGCCTTTTTCGAAAGCTTATGGTCGTCATTACGGTATGGTGCAGATCCTACCATACGTTTCCTGGGTGTCGGTATGGATACATTTTTGCCGCCTTCTAGAGCACGTCAGCACCAAACGTATGCTTACTATTCGCAGCCATATAGGTCGAGTTCGTCTCGCACCCACTACAAAAAGCCTTTCGTGGATGCACACATACATTTCAAGAAGATTGATGATCGACCTACCTATATCACATTCATCTCTGTTTACGATGTCATCATGAACTCGTTCTGTTTGCATCAACTCAAAATCGCGACACAAGCCAGATGTGATCGTAGCTGTGCCACGCCGCGCGATGTGTCGTTTGGCCACATGTTGTACTCGTGCAGCTAAACTTGGAGACACATGGTCCACCTCCGAGTCTCACTGCAAAATTAGCAAGTCCTGATCACACATAGACTAGAGAGCGGCAAACTACTTCTACCAACTTCTGCTGTGACCGATCGCGAGGTCCCTTTTGCATTTCGCATTTTTTGCAATGAACATGCGAACCATCAAGTGACGACCCTACACTTCCCGGTGTACCTGTCGCTCGCATTCTTCGCTGACAAAAGTGCCAATCATATCGCTTTCTGATAGCACTTCGATGTTCCTGAGTAGCAATGTCTGCCATTGCTCCAAACACCAGACCTAACAGCACTTCGCTTCTCGCGTTCGGTCGCTGCAGTAAATGACATATATTGCTACCTCAGCAACGTCAACGAGATCCCATCAAATGGCCCTTAATGATCACAATCAGTGTTCCGATAGACCTTGTGAGATGGCTCTGTCAGTTTCAAAATTGGTCTAACATTTAAAATAAAACTTGGACATCGCAACATGCGAAAAAACCTCGACGCTCACCATCCACAACAAACCGTTTGCTACTCGGTCCGTATACGTGCGTATACACGTCGACAAGGCCGTCGTCCCTTGCAACGTGAGTGTCCACACCAGTGCCACATCATCGACACACCAAATTGCACCACGCCATCGACTGGCCACAACATGCTGTCCCTCCGGTCGCTGCTCTGCCGCAGCTCGCGTGGCTTCTTCGCGCCGTCTCCACGCACAGCCGCTCGTCCATACACTGCTCTGCATCTCCTGCACCCATCGAGTGGTCACACGTCTATCAACGCGCTCTCTCGCCGCCGCAATGGCTCGTCCACTGCGTCGTCTCGAGCACCTGAGCCACTCGATCGGCGGCCACGAGATGCACTACCGACGGCAACGGCGCCACAAGTGACCGTCGACCAGATCTTGAACCACGTGTCGCTCATGGAGCAGTGGACGTGCTGTGGCTGCGGCATTGCGCTGCAGTACGAAGAGCCTAAGGGCATTGGATACTTTCCCAAGCAGCTCCTGCACAACGTGCAGGACTTGAAAGACCTCAAGCGACTGCGCTGCGAGCGCTGTTTCCAGATGACGCAGTACGGGAAGATCTCTGATGCGAAGATGCCGTACACTGAGTACGAGAAGCGCGTGCTGGAGCTCCGGAGTCAAGATATGCTCATGATTCAGCTCGTGGACATTCTCGACATTTCGGGAAGTTTGTTGCCCAAAGCACGTCACGTGTTTGGGAACAAACCAGTGATGCTCGTGGTGAACAAGGGCGACCTGGTGCCGACCAAGTCGGGCATTCGACGGCTGATGAGGAGGATCAAGCAGGAGGCCGTGTAAGCGCTGATGCTTCATGTTGTGTTGCTGCGACGGAGGAGAAAGGCAAAAGGATGAAGACTATCATCTGTGACTGACATGGATGTGTGTGTGTGTCTGTCGATCGTGCGGTCACAGGAAAGCTGGGATTGACAATGTGCTGTCTATCTACCTGATCAGTGCAATGAAGAAGATCGGCATGAAAGAAGTTGTAGAAGACGTGGCCAAGTTTCGCCAGGGTCGCGATATATGTGTCGTAGGTGCTGCTAACGTGGGCAAGTCGACGTTCCTGAACTCGTTTCTTTCGCACTTGGTCGATCGCAAGTGGCAGCACAACCATCGCAAGTACATGAAGATGACGGAAGTGTCCTTGTCCGAGCTGGAGGACGAAGAGACAGCCAGGATGCTCAACATGGACGACAGTTTGCTCGAGGAAGCAAATGCTGAAGACGAGAAAGGAGCGTCAGTATCTGGCGAGACGACTGTTACGACTCCATATGGCGAGCTTTACGTTGCGCCAGGCGAGGACCCAGAGATGATCGAGACGAGTGCAGAGGAAGATCGAGAGATGACCACGTCGCCGCTTCCAGGCACGACTTTGGCCGTCCAGTACGTGCCAGTCATGGTGCGCAATGAAGCGTTCAACGTCCTGGACACCCCCGGGCTGATTACTGACACGAAGCGGCAGAAGCTCGTCGAAGTGCTTGCACTCGACGGCGCTACCAAACTGAAGACTGTGTTTCCGTCAAAGCAATTACCGGCACGTCATGCATTTTACCTCATCAACTACTCGATAACGATCCGGATAGGATGAACCATGCTAACTTGCCTTGTGCTTTGCCTTCTGTGTCCAGGTCACGACGTATCGTGTGCGTCCAGGCCGCAGTTTATTTCTCGGTGCTCTCGTGCGTTTTGACTATGAGGCGGCTGAAAGTGACGGCAAGAAGGACACGCTGCTGTTATCGTGGTATGGTGTGCTGCCTGGCCACCTCACCAGCACTGAACGTAAGTTTGCTCTAGCACTTGTACACGTGCGTGGGTCTAACGTGTGCTATACCTTGCATCACGACCTTTTGCTTGATGACAGGCGCCGAAGACACGTTCATCAAGCACGCCGGTGGGATTCTCTCACCGCCACGTGGTCTCGACGCCTTGAGTTTCACTGGTCCGCTCATGCAGTCGCAGAATGTCTACTTGAAGGACTACGTGCTCGACAGTGTGCTGACGAAGTCCAAGCACAAGAAGCCCAAGCGCACGACTGTAGTAGAGCTCGAGTTGCCAGGCTTTGGGTGGCTCTCCGTGACAGCCATGGACCTCGATGGCACTACAGCATCGCAACGGACGCTGAACCGCGGCAAGATCTCTGTGCACACGTGTCGTGGCCTCTCGGTCGTTCCGCGCGCACCGCTGTTTCCATTCGAGCTGTCAGAATCGAAGAGTGCAACGTGGAAACGCTAGACAGACGACTCGTCGTAGGCACCTGTAGCGGCGATGGTAAGCAAGACAGTCTTCACTTGGCATGCACCGTTGTGTTCATTATCACCGACTGTTGCTTGGTATGTGTGGTGGTGTGCTGAAAGACCTTTGCAGCTGGCAACGGCCATCTGCCAAGAAGAATGACGCTGTAATGATGAGATTGCGGTGCCTCGCTCCGTCACGACCGAATGGGAAGAGACCTGTGCAGGCGAGCGCCACAATCCAATTCGTCTGCGCGAAGCACTACAACTCACTGACTCGTTCGTTGACCGAAGCGTAGTGGTCTCCGTCATGGCAGGTTGGAGCTTGTTGACACCGTACGCCATTGCAAGTGCGACGCGAGACCGATTCGCACGTCGGGCCAACAAAAGCTCAACAACAGCAGCAGCACCAGCAACAACAACAGCAGCAGCTAGTGATGATCACGACTCTCCGACCGCAGCAGCAGCCAGGGATGATATTGATGCGTCAACAGCAACAGCAGCAACCAGTGATGACAACAAAGCTCCGACCGCAGCAGCAGCTAGTGAGAACGATGATGTTGTGGCGGCTTTGCCATCATCTGCGACGAAATCGCTCAAACTGTACGCCAATATGGTGAGTCAGCCCAGTCGCGCAGGTACGAAGTGAACGACAACGTTTGTTCGGCTGATGCAGTGTGTGGGGTTTGTATCGTCTAACGTCTGATGCTCGTCGCGGATGGCAGTTGCATGGGTGTTGAAGGTCAAAGGCGTTGAGTACGAGTTCGTGCACGTGGAATTTGGCGGTAAGCTCATCAAGTCGGACCAGTTCAAGTCGTGGAACCCCAACGCGCTCGTGCCCGTGCTCTGCGACAATGACTTTTTGCTCTTTGAAGGGTACGCTCACTGTTCACTGCACGTTTGACTGCGATGCATGAGTGCCAGACGCGGTGCCGACAACTAACTGGCAATTGGCTCTGCTGTTTGTAGCAACGCCATCCTGACGTACGTCGCCGTGAAGTTTGGCTGGACGGACTTGTGCCCAGTTGACATGCAGATACGTGCCAAGGTGGACGAGTTCCTGCACTGGCACCACACCAATACGCGCTTGTTCACAACGCAGATCGTGCGTCCAGCCGTGGCCAAGGCAACGAAGAAGGCTTCGCCTGCCGATGTAGCACATCTGGACAACGCAGATGCACTTATTGAGCAGGAGATGACGCTGCTGGAGTCGTTCCTCCTCGATCACGACTACGTCGCTCACACTGATGCACCAACGGTGGCTGACTACGCAGCGTACTGTGAGATCGATCAGCTGGAAATGATGGGCTACGACTTTGCCAAGTATAAACGAGTGGCCGCCTGGATCGCACGGATGAAGGTTCGCTGACCCGTTTATTGCTGTCGTGCCGCGCAGGCAGTTGTTTGTTGCAGCACTGGTACTGACTGCCGGACGCATGCTCGACTGTGTTTGTGTACCTTGCCAGCAACTTCCATTCCACGACGACGTGCGCAAAGACCTCGACGATTTCTTGCAAGACGCTGGGTTGCGTGCTCGAGTCAAAAACACGATCGAGCTGTAGTCCATGGACGAGCGGCAGGGATGAGTTCGATGGCAGAGGGCTGCAGTTGAACGAAGCACATCTTGATCAGCTTGCAGCGTGCGTTTCGCGCGACCGTTTCACGATGAAACGGGGTGCCGCTCGCTCACCCACTATCGCCCTGTGCTATAATGAGACGAGATGCTGTTGAGCATCCTTCACCCGCGTCGCCGTTACTGCATCGATGTCTCTTCGGGTGGCTCTGATCGCAAAGAATTCCGTAACCGCTCATCATGGTCTGCTGCGCTTCGCCAGAACTGGAGACAATCGCCACGAGCGAGAAAAAGTGGGTGTGTGGACCTCATTCCTGAACTTGCCGTCTCCAGTTCAGACACCACTGGACCGTCATGCCTCTCACGCTTTACGCCAACCTCGTCAGTCAACCGTCGCGTTCCGTGGCGTGGGTGCTCAAGGTGAAGGGAGTGGACTATGACCTCGTGACGGTGAACCCGGGCACGGACTTTATCAAGTCGGACGAGTTTCACGCCATGAACCCCAACGGTCTGGTGCCAGTCATCAAAGACGACGACTTTGTGCTTTCGGAAGGCATGGCCATCCTGCAGTACTTGTGTGACAAGTACGACTGGACTGGCCCAGACGACTTGTACCCGAAGGAGCTCAAGGTGCGCGCGAAGATCAATGAGTTCTTGCACTGGCACCACACCAACACGCGGCTCTTCACGATCAACTTGCTGCGTCCCGAGTTCGCCAAGAAGCTCAAGACCGCTTCGCCCGAAGATTTGGCTGCACTCGAGAAGAAAGACGCGCTCATTGAGAAGGTGTTTGGCCTGCTCGAGAAGCTCTTGGTCAAGGAGTACGTCGCGCAGACTGACTTCCCGACCATCGCCGACTACACGGCGTACTGCGAGATCGACCAGCTCGAGGTGATGGGCTACGACTTGTCGAAGTATCCGAAGGTGTGTGCGTGGACGGCTCGCATGCGGTCGCAGCCGTTTGATGACGAAATTCACGAGGCGCTCAGGGGTTTCATCAAGCAGTTTGACCTCACCGCGTAGGAATCACTGGCCGGGACCTGAGACGAAGTCAACAAAGACATCGCAGTTGCGTGAGCGTGGAATGGATCCGTGAGAAGTGCGTCGTGCGGTCCGTCTGTCACACTCTGAGCACATACGTGAGCGCTGATGCAGACTGTGTATCGGTTACAAGCGCGCGGGTGAGGAAAACGCTCACATTAAAAATCGCAAAACAGCACTTGGCCTCAACTTCTTCTTCTTCTTCTTCTTCTTGAGACGCGGCACCACGTCTCGTACCTGCTTTTCTTACCCACCGAACATCAACGCGTGACCACGAATTTCGTCTTCAGACTGCGCCCTTGTCCTCTTGCTCCAACCCGTCGTCCGCATTGTTGCTGCCATTTCCCACCAGACAACTGTGGAAGCCACGCTCAAGCTCAGCCCGGTCGAAACCCTGACCAATGAGCACAAGACGGGACATGCGCTGCTCGCCAGCCTCCCACACCGATCCAGGCGCGATCGTGTACGTGTCCAGCACTCCCTGCACAACACAGCGCCGGTCTCGCGCATCTCCCGTGACAGCGAGAATGCCCTTCACTCGCAGCACGTCAGCTCCTTTCACATACTGCGTAACCACATCCGAAAGCCACTCGCCAAACGCAGCAATGTCCACCTCGCGTTCCACCTCAAAGTGCACCGTCATGATGCCCCCTGTATGCAGTCCTCGCGTCTGCACACCTGCACTGCCTTGTTCCGTAGCAGATGTGCTCTGCGCCTTGAACCGCACGGCGTCAAACGTCTTGACATTCAAGATCTTGGTCACATCGACGTCCGCGTCAATGCAGCTACAAACTGTAGCTTCTTGGTTCATCGCCATCTGAGCCGCCTCCAATCTCGCATACTCTTCTTTGGTCGCCATATCCAGTTTATTCATCACGACCACATCCGCGTACAGCAACTGGCGCTGCAACTCGATCGGAAACACAAACCGCTTTTCCGCCTCGTGCCAATACCGCTGCGTCGCTTTCACGTCGACGATCGTCACCACGGCATCCAGTCGGAACCGCGACGCACGCAGTTTCAAAAACGTTTCAATAATCGGTCCCGGGTCCGCAAGTCCAGAGGTCTCCACAATCAGATACTCAAACCGCTGCTCGTCCGCGAGGTCCAATAGGTAGTCCAAAATGCGCTCGAGCTCGTCGCCGCCCGTGCCTTTGCCGCCCGGCGCGAGGCAGCAGCACATGCAGCCATTCTTGAGCACGTAGATACTGCTTCGGTCCGTGTCCTGGAGCTTCGTGCCCGTCTCAAGCAGCGCGTGGTCGATGCTCACAGCGCCCAGCTCGTTCTCCAGGACCAAAATGTTGCGACACGGCAGCAACAGGGCCTTCTCGGCCAGCAAGAGCCGGTTCAATAACGTGGTCTTCCCAGCCCCTAAAAAGCCAGTTAAGATCGTGACTGGTACGGGCGCCGGCGCTGTGCGTCGGTTAATCGTCTCCGATTTAGCGGCTACTTGGTCGGTTTTACGCTGGATACGGTCGGTCCGACGTAATTGACGGTACCACGCGACGGTATTCGCCAGCGCGAACGACAGGAGCACGAGCGCGAGCAGCACAGCGCCGAGAAGCGCATAGAATTCGCGACGCGGTCGAGGAGACGAGGCGCAAGTCGACGCGTCCTGGAACATGTCGTCGGTGGCTGCAGGCGGCCGGGGAATCGTCGCGGCGACAGAGAGAAGTAACATGACGGACCCGTTCGACCGAAGGAGTTGCGGAAGCAGAAGGGCGAGATGGGTTGACAAGCGCACGCTTCGAAATTCCGAGAACGTTCTTAATGTAGTCGTTCTATTTTTGCGTTTTTTTCTTCAACCGTGCGGTGGTGTTCTATATATGTTTTAATTATTTGCCTGCGCTGTCGGGATCCCAAAGAAAAAGTATCTTTGGTGCATAAACCCGGCGGCCGTTGAAGATACCATATGGGTTCGCGTCTGGTGTGCTCTGTTCTTGTAACCCGTGCAAACGGTCGCTGTACGTTTTATATCGTTTCTATCGCCTCGATCTCTTTCTTTGGCCGCAGCTGCTTCTGTCGTCTGACCCAATCAATCGAGTTTAAAAGTTGGCCTTTTTCTGTAGCACTCGCGCGCGGGTCAAAGAGACCAAATGGTTTGTTTTGCTATTGTTTAGTTGTTCTGACAGTCCGTCGACCAAAAGATATCGCACTGTTTGGACATGAAGAAAACCCCTCGCGCGGCCACTGCCGCGTGCGCCCACAACGCGGACGTGAAGACGGACAAAGTCGTGACAATACGTCCACCGGACACTCCGTCGGACAGTTCATGTGCAACGTCAGTCGCGTCGAAGCGCTGTGACGAGTGCGAGCGCAAAGGCGCAGAATGGGTCTGCCACGACTGCGGCCTCGTGTACTGTGCCACCTGCGACACGCACCGACATCGAAAAGGGAACTTGCAATTTCACGAACGGCAGCACATGTCACGACTTCAGTCCCCCAAAGGTGAAATTGTGGGCGCTGCGCCACGTCCGACTCGCGACGTTGCGGAATGGAACACCTGCGACGTGTGCGACTGGCTAACCGCTCATGAGTTGGGACTGTTTGTTGACGAAGCACAGCGACAACAGGTCACAGGAGCGACGTTGCAGTCGTCGCAGGGTGTAGATACGTTCTTGGAGGCCGCTGCGGGGGTCAGTCGCGGCCATAAGAAGAAACTGCAGCGAGAAGTGCTTAAACTGCAGCGGGCAGAAGAGCTTTCGCCTCGCCCGAGTAAGACCGCATCTGAAGCAATGCCTTTGGCACCGCTTCGTCTCTCGCGCGTCTCTAGACGTCCCATTGGCATTGATGTCCGGGTCAATGTAGAGACTGTAGAGGTGACAGCACCTCCACGACGTGCATTGGGTCTAAGCTCTGTTGGACTGAAGCCACTGAAGATCGACGTGGATGGAGGTTACTGCGAAGATGATGCAGCTGGCGTTGTAGCAAGAGGTCGTGGCGGCCGACAGATGTTGGGACTGGATCTTGCACAGGTCAAACATGACGCGAAGACGGTGGCAGCTTCTTTTGATTTCTCTGCAACGGGCACGCTGCAGACACAAGGCTTCGAGATCGATGTGAGACGCTTAAGGATATTCACAGCTGATCGACTGATACCCTTGTACTAACTTTTGCGGATGACAGACACGCGGTATTGCTAATGTGCCTTTTGCAAGCTCAAAGCAGTGCCAAGCGAGCGGCAAAAAGTTTGGATCCAGCAGCACAGATGCAATCAGTACGAAAGACTGCTTGCTGATGCTCGAGGAGCTTGGTCACGGAGCTGGTGGCAAGGTCTATAAGGCACTATACATGCCAACGTTCATCCTGGTGGCTGTAAAGGTCATTCGCGTGTACGATCAGAAGAAGCGTCACCAAATGGTGCGCGAACTCAAGTCGCTGTATATTAACTTCGTGCCGCTCGCAACTGCCACCTCCCCATCTGCTTCCTCGGCAAGCTCGTCTGTTTCTCAAGCAGCATGCGAAGAGCTTGTTGTTTTCTACGACGCGTACACCAACCCAGAGCTGGGTTCTGTCTCGATCGTCTTGGAGTACATGGATGGAGGATCGCTGGAAGACTACGTGCAGTCTGCTACCAAAGGTGATGGAGGAAAAGAAGGCTGCTTGTCGGAAAAGGAGATCGCAAATGTTGCTGCGTGCGGGTTGAAAGGACTAGCGTTTTTGCATGAGCACCACCAGTTGCACCGAGACATTAAGCTCAGCAACATGCTCATTAATCACCAAGGTCAAGTCAAGGTGAGCACCGTGTCGAGCGTCCTGCTCTGTTGTTATGCCATCATGTGTAACAAATGCTTGACCTTTTGATTGAACTGTAGATATCGGACTTCGGGATCTCTCGCGACCTCGAGAGCACCTTGGCCAAGGCGACAACGTTTACAGGCACGCTCTTGTACGTCAATCTGGCTATGCTTGTATCGATCGAGCTGCATCCGAGCTGACATTGCAAACTCCTACCAGGTACATGGCGCCTGAAAGGATCAGCGGAGGCATGTACTCGTACCCCTCCGATCTCTGGTCGTTCGGACTCGCGATCATGGCTTGCGCCATTGGAAAGCTACCTGTTCCGGCAAAAGAAGGCTACTGGGGTGTTGTACAAGCTGTGCAAGAGCAGCCCTCGCCGCGACTTCGAGACTATGGCGATCGATTCTCCCCGGAGCTTTGCGATTTCTTGGAACAGTGCTTACAGAAGAACCCGATGCATCGACCTCCTGCGGCGATTCTGCTAGAGCATTCGTTCATCAAGAGGAACTGCTTGTCGCCGAGAGAGCAAACGGGTGTGCGACTGAGCCAGGATCGACAGCCACGGACAGCAGAGGCTATCGAACGCAGTCGCCAAGAAATGCGGAACATCGCGAGTAAGGCCCAGAGCTGGTGTCTCGATCACGCGGATACTTTTCGCCGCCTGTCATTGACGAACGGGATGAATGGGTCGCGAAATGCCTCCAGCAAGCGAAAGACTGAGGTTCTCGCCCAGCAGCTGCATCTCCCAGTCGACGAAGTGGCGCCGCATTTCGCGTTTCTGGATGGGTTTTGCACATAAGCCGTCTTGTCGGGTGGGCCATGCCAAACGCCAGGTACGAGTGCTGTCGTTGCCAAGCCAACCGCTAATGAGCTCTGTCTTCTTATTCTCGCTTGGACGCTTGTCGTTGTTGACATCCCGCAGTTCCAAACCGGTAGAGATGAGAAGCAATCGTATGCCGTCGTCACTTTCAGTCATGGCGTCCCCAGGACGTAGGCAGTATGAAGCTGTTACGTCGCTCGACAGTCAAGCAGTGACGTCCCTGTCTGCAGCAAATATCCAACCGATGGCGTCGCAAGCTGGAATCGAGCAGTTGCTGAGCCTCGCACACCTCCACGTTGACAATGTCATGGCTGCCCGACATATCGAGGACAAACACGACGCAAGTCTTGACGATGGAGGTTGTGCTGTGATGGCCAGTAGGAAAACGAAGACTCGCAGTGCAGCAACCCTTCCACGATCCGTCCTCGATGCTGTGCGCAAGCTGCATCGAAACGTTCGTGGCAAAGTTGGCGGGAGTGGAGCAGTCGCGACGCTCACCACGGCTGAAGTAGGTGAGGCGCGCTACGAGCGGCTGAAGGCAGGATTCAGTAGGCTGCAAGAGCACCTGCATAGCGTCGCAGAGCACCGCGATCAACTTCTCTGTGGACTTGACCAGCTGCACTCGAGCACGACATGCTTGCAAGAAGTGTTCATGGACCTGATCAAGTCACCGGCGTCTCCTTTTCCGGAACTCTCGTCAAGTCTATCCGTGAGCTGTGCAGCAATCGAAAAACTGAAGGTACGCGTGTTGATGGCTTTCAGCAGCACCTGTAGCCTCTTCTTACCTTTCCTTGCTGTGTAGAACGTCCTGGAGCACAAGGTGGCCAAGCAAACCCGTCGAAAGCTCGCAGAGCTCGAGCTCTTTGCGGTCAGTGCATCGTTCATGGATTCGTATCGCGCTTGCGCAACACACTGACATTGCAGTGTGTACAGGCCAAGCTGGACGAGCGTGAGCAGCTTCGGCAAGAGGTTGACATGGCCGAACGGCAGGTGGGTCTTTTTCGTACAAGTTGACACAGCATTGTCCATCCAGCTGACGAGTACGTGTTCAGCTTCAGATCTCGCGCGTAGACAATCTGAAACGTGGGCCCTACGCTTCCACGAAGCGCACTGCGACTGCACACGACATTGCAGTCGAGCGCCAAGCGGTGAGTTGTGGAGACTGTCGCTCGCACTTGCGCTATCGGTCCGGCGGTTGTTGTTTCACACTCGTTTTTGCTTTGATGCAGTTCCAACAGCTTCGACGGCGTCTGACCGTCATGACCGAAGCGCTTGAGCACGTGTTCCAGTTCCACGTCCAACTCGATCAATGCATTGCGGAGCCTGAGCTTGAGACGGTGCGTAAGTGTATCGTAGCACGTATGAACGTCACGTCATGGGTACACACACAATGTAGCCATGTCTCAGCTACCGGTTTTTGGTCGCTTTTTTGTCGCTTAGGTCCGTAGCCAAGTTTTGCTTTTTTTCACCAGAACCGACGTGCGTTTGATGCACTGCTGGTCCGTCGGTAGGCAGGCGTATGCTGCACGTGTGTGTGCTGCTTTTTTCGATGGATCCTGCAACTGCGATCGAGGCAACAGAAAAACGCGTAGCTGCTACGTGATCGCTCTTGGGCCACGATTGCTTTTTATACAAAGCAAACCGCTGACACTGCGAGCTTCCACATAAGAATAACATACCCCGCGAGCACGTTACGTTGCAACTTGAGGGCTCTGTCGTCGCACCCTTTTGACCAGAGAGATCCATAGCGAACATGCAGCAGCAGCTGCGCCGCGTTCTCGCAGCGCTCTGTGTGCTGTCCAGCGCCTGTCGCGTCTCGCCAACTGCTGCGTCATCTACGACCGACGGCGCTTGCCACGCGACCGATGTGCTGTGGCTTTGGAGCGGCGCGTTGACGTCCCGCTCCATCACGTTCAAGTGTGGGGTACGCGAGGGGTACACTTGTGCCCCGGCCGACTTTGTGCTCTACGCGTTCCCCGCGCTGCGCGACGGCGAGAAACCCCACTCGGCGATCGCCACGTGCAGTACAGTGGACGGAGGCGAAGCGGGTGCAGGCGAAGAGCGCAGTGCGTCGGCGGACGAGCCCTCGCGCGTTGTGCAGTGTACCCTGTCGGCACTCCCACATCGTGATCGCGAGTACCGCTACGAACTGACGTTGCTCGAGTCGGGGGCCGTCGTCAAGAGCGGACGCTTCCGGACACCCAAAGCCGAAGGCACTGCGTACGACTACCGCGTGGCCTTTGCCTCCTGTGCGGACGAACGATCCGATCCGCGGGTACGCTGACATGTGGTGCTTGTTGGAAGTCGGTCGTGCGGTGGTTACGGTTCATTCTTATTGAGGGGGGGGGTACGCTCCGCGTGTTGGTGCACTCATGAGCTCTGTAATGCTCTTGCGATCGTTGTCGACAGGTGTTTGAAGCCATTGGGCACGAAGACGCACTGCTGTTTGTGCACACGGGCGATCTGCATTACCACAACCTGATCGTGAACGACGTCGCGGCCTTTCGAGACGGCTATGACTCGATCTTTGCCTCACCTGCGGGCCAAGCAATGCTGGCCATGGACGTACCGTTCGCCTACATGTGGGACGACCACGACTTTGGTCCGGACAATAGCGACGCGACTGCGCCGGGTCGCAACGCATCGGTGCAAGCGTATCGGGAAGCTGTTCCGCACTACCCGCTGGTCGGAGGCCGGTCACGAACGAGTACCGTGCACCAGGCGTTCACGATCGGTCGAGTCCGCTATCTCCTCACGGATCTGCGATCTGCGCGGACGCCCAATACAGCTCCTGCTGCGCCGACCAAGACCGTGCTGGGCAAACAGCAGAAGGCGTGGTTCAAGTCCGAGCTCGTGCGTGCGACGAATGACCCGAGCATTCGACTGATTGTCTGGGTGAACACCATGCCGTGGCTCGATGACGAGCGCAAGTGGGGGCAATTCGTGCACGAGCAACAGGAGCTGGTGAATTATATCAAGGCCCACGGCCTCAACAAGTGGGTACCCATTGTCATCGTGAGTGGAGATGCACACATGTTGGCAGTGGACGATGGCCGCCATAGTCCGGGAAACTTGACGGTGCTCCATGCTGCTGCGTTGGGACGTCCTGGATCGATCAAGGGCGGACCCTACAGCCATGGTGCGTTTGCTGGATCAGGCCAGTACGCTGTCATGGACATTACGGACGAAGGGGGCGAGCACGGACGCGTGTGCATTCACTATCGAGGTATGAACATCGACAGGGGTATGCTGATCGAGTACGACACTTGCCATCCAGAGCGCACTCCCCCTGTGGCGCCGTATTATCCACCCCCCATCCCGGTACGCATTTTGATGCGCGTGTGGAAGAAAGCGAAGCGATATGGCGGTATCGCGGCTGTCGTGATAGCCATTGGTATCGCCCTTTTCGTGTTGAGAAGCAGACGCCAGCGTGCTCTCCGCGCCCGAAAGTACAGCTAAACTCGGAAGAGGCCGCGGGCGTACAATTTCACCGCAAGTACACGCTTGTCATTGTTGTTTTCATGATCGTATAAATACTGCCAAGCAGGTGGTCCTTGTCGCCTCACATGCGTCCATCTCGGCTCTTTCTCCAGCTAACAAGCAACCAGAGCGTCTGAAAGGAAATTGGCAACACCAAGCAGATGCATCAACGACTCGAAACCGATTGCAAACTCCACGTACTGGAGACACCGACTTGGAGCAAAACAGTAGCAGATCATGGCATCGAACGGGAGGTGCACGTGTCGCTCGAGCGCCAATGTATCGCCCCTTGAGGTTGCAGAGCTCGCACTGCCATCCGTTTCGTCACCTTGTACCGAGCCGTCAGACTTTGTTGACGGTACCTCGAAACTCTGATGTCCAAGACGTTGACCACCGATCGGCTCTTCATTCCGTGGTAGTGATGGCTGTAATGGTGGTCCTAGCGACAGACTCGTCGCTTTGGACGCCACGACGCACGTTTTCTTCGACATGCGGTTCGTGGCCGTCAAGTGGAACGCAAAAACCTCGCGCTGTCCGTCATACGGGATTCCCAGCGACCTGCTGCTCTCCACTTCCCTAGCACCACCAGGCATCGGGTCTTCCGCCGCTGCACCAGTCCCTTCCGCTGCCCCATCCGTTTGCTCGTGGTCGCCAATCGGTCTTTCGTCCGTTGGCAACAGTGCTGTCGACTTGTCGGGCAGCTTCCCGTACGACAGAAAGATCCTCAGTGCGTACGACGTCGCGTTCAGCACCACACCTTCGCGCTGCACGGGCAGCGCATATGTTGCGTCGCCAACTTGAAGCAGTGCGTCGAACGTCCACTCGAGCGGACGGTACTGCAGCGGATTGAACAGGTAGAGCAAGTACGTGTTGCTCACGAGCGCATTGACGCACAGCGCGTCCTCCTGCAGGCGGTACCGCAGTGTATCGTCGTCCACGCGCACGGTCAGCCCCGACAGCTCGTGCAGCTTCATCGACGCGTACTCTGCCACGTGCGCCCCGTCTGCGCCGCTCGGCTGCTGCCTCTGCTTGAACGTCGTCGACTGAATGGCAGCCGGAGGCGCCAACGGGCGATAAATGAGTCCGTCGATCGAGGCCCAAATTTGCATCAAAAGCACTGACGACCGGAGGAACGCAACGTCTTCGGCGGCTTCAAACCGGTGGCGCAGTCTCAAGAGTGCGTTCGTGTCGAGCAGAACGGGCGCTGGGACCACTTGAAAGAGGTCGCTCTCGAACTGCAGTGAGCTCTTGAGCGCTGCTACAGCGGCCAAGAGACCAATGTGTTCGTTCAATAGACCACGTGCTTCGTCGACCGAGACGAGGCGAACGAGCGTGGCGATGTCCTGGAGGGAGCGATTTATTCTTAAGGAGAGGTCAAACATCCGCTTGCACCGGTTGTACACCACGGCGCGCTCGCGTGAACACAGTAGAGGGGTGCCCCGCGCCGTGGTGAAAAACCTCGTTTCCCCCCGATCGTTCATAAGGTACACCCGCGCCGTCACGCGGTCCACGGCGCTGCACTGGAAGCGCGAGCGCAGCAGAAAGCAGCGACGCCATTGGCTCGTGGCGAAGCGCAGCGCCCCAAAGCGCGCGATTGTGCGCAGACGCCACTCGAGTTCACACACTGCCGATACGCTGGGTGAGACGAGCGACAGCTGCTGCAGGTCCGAGAGCGAGCAGAGGCCGAGGACAAAGGGTAAAGGAGCCAGCAAGGCGTTGGGGTCGTGGGGCCTTTCCATTTAGGAATGCACAAATGAGTAACGAGAGGTGTGTGTACGTTTCAAAAGAGTGACGTCCTCGTGGAGAGAGAGAGAGAGAGAGAAGAGAGAGAGAGACATAAGTCTGAATCGATTCGAGTTTTGGGCTATTGTTTCGTAATTTACGACGAGCGAGAAGCGGAACACGAAGCGCAAAATTTGGGCTTTTGTGCTGTCGCCCCATAATCATGATACAAAAAAAGAGGATGGAACTGCTGGCTAAATGAGAGCCAGCATGGATGGACATGGTCAAGATACAAAAAGTGACTGCTGGCTAAAGAAGAAGCCACCATGGACCTAAGCACCAACCGACATCGAATCTGCTTTTTCCCGCAAAACTTCCTACGGACCGCACGCAATGATAGCTGACGCAAATGCTGCTTGTCGAATCAATTGCTTTGTATGGCTATTGACCACTCCAGGCCATTGACATTGTTCCATGTCGTATCGCGGTTTGAAGATAATGTTTCTGACAGGTCATGAAGGTGTTGAGGTTCAAGTGCGAGACCTGTTACGGGTAAGTACAGACCTCACATGATTGACGGATAAGTGACAACTTGACAGTTGGGGCGAGGGATACGATCGCCATGTCAGATGATCATCAAGACGTCTTGACCGATGGGACGTGGAGATACAGACGCCACATGGGACCAGTATTTGATGATGGGCAGACGGGATGTACGCCATGCGCAATTTGACCTGGTCAAGTTGCAGTGCAGATGGAATGCATGTTTGTCTAGTGTCGACAGACGAGATTTACATTGCATACGTTTCACCTGTACTTTTACATTCTTTTGCCCAGATGCAACTTGGTAGTACTGTCTACATTCACCAGTATTGCCACGCTCGTTGATGGCACCACACATACTCTTGCCGTGTGTCTGACAGAATAAACAAATGATCGGATGCTTTCGGCAATGGGCGCGCACATCGCCTTCGTGGTACATCCGTCGATGCATGGACGACCACAGTCGGTCACCCGTGTGTCATTTATATTCCAATTACATGCATTACGAACTCTGCATGCTGCTAACTTGTGATTAAAGAAGTTCTTGCGTCTGTAGTTCGGCCACGCTTACAGCAACATCACAAGCTTTCATTGCATAGGCGAAGACGACACGTGCCTGTTGTTCCGCTCCTTCTGAGCACAAAGTAGTGATGCCGTGACACGACACACACCGTCATGAGTTCCAGTTCGGTTGTTTTCGCCTACTTGACGTTTACGTTGCGTAAAATGCAAAACGTCTGGCGTGGTCTGCTACATTCTTAGTGTCATGGCGACGTTTAGCTCACTCGAAATGAAAGATCGGCAGATATTTTTGCTTTACAATCAACTCAATGAGTCTGCTTAGCTGCTTGTACAGTACTGACCCGTCACTTGTGCTTTTTTTTATTCCAGCGCAATAGCGTTTGCCGCAGATGCTCGGAGCAAAGCCACTCTGTCTCTAGATCAGTCTCGCCGTTCCTGAAGAGGCTCTGCATTTCGCTGCATTTTCAATGTCAAGTTAGCCACTCGAAACTCTTATGCTCTGTCTGTCGGTCGAGACGGTGGCTCGGATGGTGGCAGGTACAACTTTGTTGCGAGCGATGCACTTGTCTGTGGGGTTTGTGTCGGGCTCATCTGTGCATCCTTTCGACCGACTTTGGTTCGTTTCGATCAAGTAATCGGAACAGGAAGCACGTGCCATGACTTCTTGATCCTTCACTACAAAGTCTAGTCACCACAATCGCCTAATAATTTAGTACACACGGACTACTTGCTGCTCCACCTTTCCTTCAACGGAAGACGAGACCTTCCAGAGTCGTACGTACATGCTTGATTGTGAGGTGCTGCCAACTAGACCGTTGGTGACGTCTCTGTAACAATGCGTTGCAAATGTGTCTCGTACGTCAGATCCAAGTGGTGTGCTTATTTGTAGAAGCTACCGCGTGATCACAACTCCATGAGCGGAGAATGCGTAAACCTGCACATAACACTCATCGTGGGGACCATGTTCCAAGAAACGCTCTCTCAGGTCGACCGCGCGCATAGTCCATCAAGGTTGCAGCCGAACCGGAGCTGGCGTGTACATGGATATCTTTCCGGCAAACGTATTGACTTCTTACCAAACGAAATGACCTAAGCTGTCCATACAATCACCGGAGATGAAACAATAGCTTTCGGGTAGTAGCCGTCGACGATCGCAGCATGAAAGCAACGTAATGCTGACGCAGGTGAGCCACGCTTCCTGCAATCCGCGCTTCTACACTCTTTCGCCCGATCCTTTGCTGCGAGACACGCAAGACTCTGACTACCAACAAGTCTGTGGCTTTGGTGCTCCATCGTTAATCTCGCCAATGATGGAGGCCCTCGCCATTGACTTTCCGAATAAACAATCACCGCAAAGCGCTCACCACAACTTAAGGCTCAGGCAGGACATGCCGACAAGTTGGACACTCCATCTTGACTTGCATCCATCCCCGGAGGCACTCGCAATGGAAAATATGGTCGCACGGTGCAATCATGTAGTCACGCGCTTCAATCTCAAGCTCTACCATACATATCACGCAGTCGATGGAATCGTCACCGCCCTTGAGCAGTGTCAACTGCTGCAGATCAATGCGCCGTTCGTAATTATACTTGACAGGCAGAAACCGTGCAGGAACAAAAAATCGTGGACCGTATCTCTGCTGCAGCGTCAGAATGCCCACTTGCAGACCCACCCACCCTGCTAGTACGTAACAAAAGTGCGAGTTCATCTTGCGCTCGTACTTCAACACACCCATTAACACATAGTCCCGCGTAACAATATCAGTCATCCCCATGTCATCCTTTTCGGTTGCTACGAGTGTTTGCAACACGATATGTGCTTACCATCGGAAAGGCTGTGAGAAAGTTATCCGGACAGCCGTAGAAGTAGAGCGGCAAAAATAAGCGCAGCGCGCTGATGCCGTACAGGTATCCCAGATCAAACGCGTTTCGCACCTCCCTGTAATTAATTGCACAGCATTGAGTACGATCGTCAAGACCAGATAGTCGCACAGAACAAGCATCACATCGAAGCACATACTTATGGACATTGTGAACGATTTGAGGGACCCAAAATGAGTAGCAGATAAACACTAGCTCGGGCAAGTGATTCTGCAATAACGAACAAATCATGTGAGTCACACTACAACCGCACGCAATTTGCTCAGTACTGATCTCACCGAGCAGTTGTAGAATATGCAGAGCCCAACCAGCAGAGATAGGTAAAAGCGCGAGTACAGTGTCGTGAGCTCACGACGAAGTGTGAGCCAGCCTTCCGAAAACCCCTGTGGTCTCCGCGCCTTCCAAATGATGAGCAGATATCGCATCTCAAACACCGAGAAAATGATGAGCTTCACAAACGCGACAGAAGCAAAGGCGGCAAACACATTCTGGGCCACGATGCCCACAGTCAAGTGGCCAAGACACAAGTACGAGTCCACAATAGCCTGCTGTCCGATAGTCAATAGCGACACCTTTGCCGCTGTAGCTTGTGTACTGGAAATTTGCAATTGCCGCAGCAGAAAGTAGATTTCCGCCATTGCTATGAACGTCATGATCAATGCGTAACGAGAAGCCTTAGCAAAGAACACGTTCAGGTTCTCCTCCTGGAACGTCGTGTCCAGTTTCATATACAGTCCGCAATTCGCACTAGCCAGCGTCCCTTCTAGCTTCATATGGCGCATCGACTTTTGGAGCGCGGTCGCTGCGTCATCCTTCTCATCAATCTCTCCGTCTTTTCTCGCAGGTTTACTCGTGTCATTCACCAATGTCATCTCGACGATGCTCACGCACTGGTCACTAAACGAGTCACTGCTTCGAAAGCGCGACACGAACGAATGCCGTGGCGGCGAGATATCGACTGCTGCATACTCGTCTCGGTTCTCGATAGTCGGCACGCCATCCAGCACCCCAAGGTCCATGAGCTCAGCTCTAGCTTGTCCTGGCACACTTTCCGAATCGACCTTCCCATCTGCTTCCTCTTTGCCACCAGTCTCTTCCCCGACACCATCAAACAAAGCAGAGAGCACATTCATCGCCCCCCTTTGCGTCCCGTTTGTCTGCCGTCCATGCTCTCTCCGATACAAAATCTGCACACTCGAGTCCGGACTATTGCCAAACAGCGTCAACGTGCCCAGTTTCCGGAGAAACACGCCCTGCACGGGCAAAATCGTCGCGGCAAGCGACGCCTGTTCTTCATAGATCACCAGCTGTCCCGTCACGTACGCCACTTCGTCCATCAATTCTTTCGAAACCGGCACCTTCATCTTGAGAAAAAGCCACGTGTGCCCCGTCTCCACAGGCTGCGTGTACTGCTGCACTTGGATCGCTCGGTCCACTTTCAAGTACGGGACAATGTCCTGGAACTGGTACTTGGTCGCGTCATAGTCTTCCGGCCGCAGCGCGTCCCACGTGCCCGAGTAAATGCCCGTCACGTTCAGCGGCGGCTCCTTGGCCCTATACCCGTCTTGCAGCTGCAGCAGGTGCTCCAACTGCTCGATCTTCTGCACGCGGTCCGTGTCGTTGAAGGCGCTGAGGGGCAGCGCGTAGCGGTTCCGCGCCGCGGTCGTCGGGCCCGACGCGCCACTGCCGCCGCTGGCAGACGGCCCAGCGGTCGTCGAGCTCGTGCTGCTACTTCGACTGCTGCTACTTTGGCTGCTCGCCCGGAGGTCCCCTGCGCGATTGTCGAAAAACAGCACGAGGAAGCAGAGGAATATCGCCATGCTCAGGAGCTGCATGCGCTGGCGCTGGAACTGCTGCTGCCGCCAGTCGGCCTCCATTGCGCCAATGTTGAGCGAGAGCGGGCGCTCGGCGGGTGCAGCAGCCGCGGCGTCGGGACGGGGCGACGCGGCGCGCACGATCATCACGACGCGGCCGGTCTCGCTGCTCATGCCGCTTTGTCGCGGAGATGGTGAAGTAAGCGCACGCGCGGCACTTCAGCGCGCAACGCCAGGACGCACCACACCGCGGGCGACACGACATTTGCGTGGTGCACATCGTTGTACCCTCGCGCTGGTACATTCGCCAGCGCCGCGCGAGCAGTCGCCGGGCGTTTTGAAGTGCGCTGCAATGAGAGCGTCGGACGTCGCCCCTCCTGCGCCGCGGAATATGCCGCGGCCTTTGCTGCCGTCGACGGCCGACGGGGACCTGTCACTTGATCTGTGCCGTATCGCAGACGCAGAAGACGCAATGACCGCCGCGCGCGTGGACGTTGTGCTGGAAATGACTGCACCGCTGGACGCCTACGGCGTGCCGGGGCCGTCGAAAGTCACGCGAGCTGAAGTAAGCCGAGCGCTGACCTCGTGCGACGGCGACGTGTCGCGCGCAGTGGACGAAGTTTTGAGCCTCGTCGCCATCAAGACGATGCGCGAAGAGGAGCAGCGGACACTGGAGGAGCGCCGGACCCACTCGACGCTCGCGCTCCACGAGCTCTGCAGCAGTTTGGGACTCGACCACAAGAGTTCGTTCATTGCTCTTCTGGAGCAGTTACCTGATGCCGAGCGAGACGGTCTGCTTGCGACGGACGGCGCTTTTGTTCAGCAGGTGTTGCTGCGTCTCGAAGAAGAAGAAGGAGAAGAAGAAGAAGAAGGAGAGAAAGCCGATGCTGCCAATGCTAATGCTGTAGTGGATGCTGATGTTCATCCACTGCAGCTGCTGCTTGAGCTGTTTCCAGACTACAAAGTGGACGTGATCGAAGACGTGCTGGACCGGCACCAGTACGACGTGAACAAAGCGGCCGAAGCGCTGCAGCATTTGCACGCGTTGGATCATGTCCAGAGCTATGCGACCGTCGTGAGTGCCGACGCACGTGCGGCTGCACGACACCGGGAGCTGATTATTAATGGACCGGATGTCGGGTCACTGGGACATTTCCCAGCATTAGCGACTGGCAGCAAGTACAGCGTGCCAACGCAACAGGCGAGAAACCCACTGAAGCAGCAGCGACGCAGAGCACACGAGCCGATTCAAGTGCGGTTGCATGACAGACCGCCGCCGAAACCTTTGCCTTTGTCGATAGCGTTCCCGACGCTGCCAGCGCGTGATCACGTGGGTAAGGGCAGCGAAGTGGCTGCGAACAGTGCGTGGGATCATCGCCACCGTCTTGAGTCGAGCATTACGACGCAGCTGAAGCTCGAGCGGCTGAAGAAGTTACTGCCGAGCGTCAGCAGCAGCGTCATTCACACTGTACGGTATCATTGTGAGGTTATGTGAGTCGTGGTAGAAGATGCCGTGGGTTTGATTTCTTCTCTTTTTTCGTGTGTGGATAGACTTTTATTTTGAACGGGTGTAGCTCTGATGTTACAGAGGCCGCTCTGCGTGAAGTGTATAACTTGCCGCTCGTTGAACAGCATTCTCCTCCACTAAGTGCAGCGAACGAAATGGAAGCAGCAGCTGAAGCTGCCGAAGCTGAGGAAGAGATTGCTGCTGCCAAGACAACTTGCAAGTTACGTCAAGGTGGACAGACTGAAAACTGGACGCTCGTTTCTAGCAAGCATAAGGTCAATGCAGCGCGAGAGAAACTCAGCAATCGCTATTGTGACGTTTTGGCGTCATTCAGGCGCGGTCAACACGTTCTTGCAAGCGAGCGTATTCGCGAGTAAGTGATTGTTTTGTATTGTGGGGCAGTGGTGAAGGGCGTCTAACGCATTCTGCCGTTGCTGACCAGATTGAGCACGGCTCGTCGTGAACATCGTGATGCCCAGCGCCAGTGGGCTCACGAGTACTTTTTGGCGCACGAAGAGCATCTCAAGTGAGCTGGCGAAGACGGTGTAATGGTGAACGCATATGGCGTCAGTAGCGTCTAATTTGTTTGTTTATTTGATTCGCGCTATAGACACCAGCGGCCGATCGATCTGCATGGCATGATCGTGATGGAAGCGCTCTGGGTGGCTCGCGAAGCAATCGAGTATTGCCAGACACACCGCATTCGCCGGTGCTTGCTGATCTGTGGTGTTGGACATCACTCGATCCATGGCAAGCCACGCATCCTCACTGCGCTGCAGCTGTCATTGAGCCGACGCCAGATCGCATCTCGCGAGCTACATGGCGTAGTGACGGTGTTTCCACTCCGTTCGACGGATTTGTCCTGATCAGAAGTGTCTTTTACTGACAAACTGTATTGCACTGGCTAGGTATAGCAAAGCTGGTGGCGTCTTTGTTTCATCGACATCGAAGTGTTGGATTGCGGCTACTGCGTGGTAGTCACAGTCTGCATGTATTCAATGCGTTGGGTATGTAATGAGAGCGTGTTGGCATTTCTTGCAAGCGTTGGTATACGAATTTATGGAGAAGTCAGAAGACACTGAATGGACCAGGACGAGGAACTGGTTTCCACTGCATCCGACTAGCAATCGCAAGCGCTTACATACAGCAAAGTCGCAATAGATTGAGACTGTGGTGACTTTTCGCAAGAACATATTGCGTGTCTCACTGGTCTGCAACGTGAAGATAGATGATCGACTCGTGAGCTCAAGTACATGCATCAAAGAATGCATTGCAAAGCCATGTTTATGGTCTCGGCCGCTGAAGCTTATCGAGAAGCCACACAGGAGTCGCATTGTTTTGCGTTGCCAGCAACCAGGGGTCAAGTACATCTTAATACCGACATGCTAAGGATTGGCGTCCGATTATGATCATCAGCTCATAACGTTGCAGTAAAAGAAGCGTTCAGTTGTCTTGAACGCATAATGTTTTTCAGACCGTTGTGATCGTTTCCAACATAATTGATTTGTCATAGGTTACAAGCAGGTCTGGCTGCCATTTGAAAGTCATGAGAGGATCGTTCCTGCCTTAATTAGTCTAATTAGCTCTCGCCTTTTTTTCTATAAAAGGGGCCAAAGCAGCAGTTGTGGTGCATATCTCTTACATGCCCAGATACTACTCGAGCACAGCACTCGTGTAGATAACTGCAGCGTAGGGTGCTTCATCTATTCTATCGAATCGAATTGGAACCATGCATCGGATGCATAGCAAAAAGGTGAAGTATATAACAATTCATCAGTTTGGGTGAGGTCGTAATATGGCATTGGCATCAATCGAAACTTCACAGGAGCTCCATCTTGGTGATCCGTTTTACTAGGATGCACCGCATATTGCAAAAGGGTATTATGTAACAAGTAATGAGTATCGGAGTGAGCCCGTATCATGGACTTGGCATCAATGAGTAGTTCTTGTGAGATTCCATACAAGGGAACCGCTTTCAACTATCTGAGTGCAGACTGAAGTACAAAAGGAAGTTATACCCCTGACGGTAACATTTGATCGTAGATGACGACGATTTGCTTACCGGCGGGCTCAGAAAAACATTCTGCCTCTGCATATGTAGTCCTTTCACGGAAATGCGTGCAATGAGGTGTGGGCAGGTGGTCGGCCTGTATGAGTGTCGGCATACATGTTTTGCGTACAATAATATACCATTGGTAGTGTTTCCTCTAAATATCTCATCTGGTTGTCTTTCTAATTTTGAAAACAGTTCTCGTTTCACCGCTTCTTGCCTGCACATTCAGTGTGTGCGAACTTTCGGAACATGTGTATCGATGCCATCTGTTGAGGTAGCTTTAACAGTGAGATTTGTAGATTGACTTCACTGTTATGGATGTGCGCTTTAAGTGCCGCGTGGTTTACATTGCACATTCTGCGTCGATACTGTTATGTCGAAGGAAAATTGGAAAGTGTATTGAATTAGTTTTCCTATGAACTTACTCGTCGTGTTATCTTCTTCTACCTTGTAGCTTTCCCTGATCTTGATGGATTCTAGAACATACACTCAAGGTAGTTCTAGAATTATCAGACTGCACGTGAACCGTTTACACCCTGTCGTATCATCGCTGTCTTGTCACTTGTGCGTAGCAAATCACAGTTGGCTTTGTTGACCGTGCATTGACAGTGCACCCATCAACACTCCCACTCACTGTTGATGCTCGGGTCCATCACGTACCTTGATGTCCATTCCGGCACGGAGGTACTGGAATCGCTTGGTGCCGAGTGCCTTCGTTAGTATGTCGGCAAGTTGATGTTCCGTCTCCTTGTAGATCACCTTTATATCACCGGCCAGAACTTTCTCTCGGACAAAGTGGTGACGTATGTCTACGTGTTTAGTCCGCGCATGGTATCCTGGGTTTGTTGCGAGAGCAATGGCTCCTTGATTATCCTCGTAGATGACAGTAGGATTCTTCTGCTCGAATCCGAGGTCAGCCATTAACATCCTTGCCCATAGTATGTCTTGAGTGCACATGCTTAGCGCCATGTATTCAGCCTCAGAAGTACTCAATGCAACGGTGCGTTGGTACTTAGACTTAAATATAACAGGGCCTCCATTAAGCACCAGCAAAACACCAGATACCGATCGACGGTCGTCCAAGCTGTTTCCCCAATCGGCGTCACTATACGCTGTTAGTTGTTGCTGTAGTTTGTCAACACTGTAGTGTAATCCAAAACCACTCGTCGAGCGGAGGTATCTTAGCACTTTGATCAGTGCCTTCCAGTGTTGTGAGCCAGGGTTTTCTGCAAATCGTCCAAGTTGGCTCGCAGGAAATGCTGCGTCTGGTCTGGTCGTGGTCACTATAAACAGCAGTCGTCCCAGCAATTGGCGGTACGGTGTACGACTCATGGCTTGTCTTTCGACATCGGACTTTGGACTGTTTGCGCTGGACAGTTTCATGCTCTGATCACATGGGTTACCAGTTGGTCGGGCTTGAGTCTGTCCAAACATGTCTGCAGTCTCCTCGATGTATCTTTGTTGCGAAATAAACATCTCACGCTTCTTTCGGTCGTACATAACTTCCATTCCAAGCAAGTGCTTCACTGGACCAAGGTCTTTGGTTTGAAACCGCTGAGAGATTTGTTCTTTCACCTTGCGTACCGTGGTTGCTTCTTTTGCAGCCACAATCATATCATCAACGTATAAGCACACGTACGCCCAGCCTTCACCATCCTTTATCTTGTATATGCATCGATCAGCACCGCACGCGACAAATCCCATTTCCAGTAATGCATTGTGAATCGTCTTATTCCAGGCATTTGCAGCCTGCTTAAGTCCGTAAAGCGCGCGATTCAATTTAAGTACAAACTCGCTGCCAATTTTCATCCCTTTGGGTGGTAACAAGTATACTTCTTCTTGTAGGTCGGCATTCAGGTAGGCCGTATCAACATCAAGCTGGTCGATCACATATCCTGCTGCGCAGCAAATCGACAATAGCATCCTGATGGAGTTCATACTGGCGACAGCCGCGTACGTCTCGAAAAAGTTGATACCATATTGTTGCAGGAATCCGAGCGCCACAAGTCGTGCTTTGTATCGACCATCACTCTTTTTAGCCCATACCCACTTCGATCCAATTGGTTTCATTCCAGGCTTGCGTACAATTGGTGTCCACGTCTTGTTACGCTCATGAGCCGCAAATTCATTCTCAATAGCTTTAATCCATTGGTATCTGTCAGGTCCATTCACTGCCTCCGCATAAGAGCCAGGTAAATCACGAGCTATCATGGCAACTTCTGCTATCAATGCCACATCGCTGTTTATTCGCGATCGCTTGGAAGGAGGTTCGTCATCTTCACTCCCACTGGCTTCATGGTTTTCATTGTATGGCACAATGCTGTTTTCTGTTGTGGTACTAGTGTTATTGTCTTCCAACAAGAGCTGAACAGGTTGCTCAATTGGTAGCATTTCATCAACACCTCCTCGTGGTCCGGATTCACTTCTCCCACTGGCATCGTCAGTAAGAACACGTAGGTGAGAAATTTCGGGCTTCGTCTTAAAGCACAGTTCAAAAGGAGTCTTCTCCTCGTGATTGCAGTTCGTGGTTCTGTTAAGTAAATACACCGCCGTATTCACAGCTTCGGCCCACCACTTCTTTGCCACCCGCTTGTAATGCATCATGCTTCTGGCCGTCTCAACAATCGTACGGTTCATCCGTTCAGCAACACCGTTTTGTTGAGGACTGTAGGGTACTGTCTTCTGATGGATGATGCCGTGTTTCTTGCAGTACGAAGCAAACCTCTTGTTTTTGTATTCACCGCCATTGTCAGTACGTATGGCCTTAATACAAAAACCACCTGCTGCTCCATCTCGGTCCGAAATTCAATGAACTTCGACAGTACTTCACTCTTGGACTTCAGAAAATATACAGTCACTAATCTTGAAAAATCGTCCACGAGAGACAATACGTATCGTGACCCACCAGGAGTTGGGTTCTTCATAGGGCCCATGACGTCAGAGTGAATAAGCTGCAGTGGCTGCGTTGTCTTTGTCTTCGACTCTTGTGGAAAACTCGCGACACACAGTTTCCCTTGTAGACACCCTCCACACAAATTCTTGTTCGTGTCAGGTACTACATTCGGTAGTCCTTCCGTAGCCTCCTTTGTCTTTTTAAACTTGTTGTGGCTAATGTGACCCATTCGTGCATGCCACAGCTCCCACTTGTTACCAGCGTCTTCATGTTCTACCAACATCGCGTGCTCATACTCCACATCAAGAGTGTACACGCTTCTCATGCGCTTCGCAGAAATCATCAACACATTATCCTTGTAGATACCGCAGTATTTTTCACCGAATCGAACGTTGTACCCACGCTGGACGATCTTGGGCACCGCTAGTAGTCGTCTGTCCAGCGTTGGAATGTGCAATACTTCATTCACAGTCACTGCTGTACCATTCGTACAGCGAAATCGAATGCTTCCTCGTCCAATTGCATTCATGACCGCACCATCGGCAACGCGAACTTGAATGGCTTCTCTCAATTTCTCGTACTCAAAGAAATCTTCTTCGGCTGGGGTCATATGTGACGAGGCGCCGCTGTCCAACAACCATCCTTTTTTTAATCCGTTTGTGGCCGTGAATGCCATTTCATTTCCATCATTCTTGGTGGCAGATCGGCACTCAAACTGCTTGTGTCCGATCTTGTTACAGCGGTGACACTTCCCACGAAACGGCTGTTTCTTCTTCCAGCTCTCTTCTGCACCACGTTGTTTGCGCATTCCACGACCACGATCCTGTTTATGGCCTCCACGACCAACGCGGAAAGCTCCTTCGGAGACCTCTTGCTGCTGCTTCTTCTTGTGTTCCTTCAACAGCTTTTCTTTCACATCC